GTTCTAAAAAATCTATCCTGAGCTATACGTTCGGTAGATTACTTTTTTTTGAGTTTCACTATATTTAATAGTTACCTGTGGTTTTGCCTCAGCTTACTATTCGGTTTTTTTTGTTTTTCACGTATAGACTAGTTTCAGTTTATATCACTCGTTTTGTCCGTTTTTGTCCGTTTTCAGTGTGCATTTTAGTGTTTTTTTTAAAAGGTCTTAAGCTTTGCCAGCATCTATAACATAGTTTGCTTCAACACCGTCATGAAAAACTCATGCAAACGTCCGGGATGCCGTTTTGCTGTCACAACTGGCATGCAGTGTGACAACTGCAAAGGTTGGTTTCACGAAGCATGCACAAATCTGACAGCAACTGCTTACAACAAACTCAGCAAGTCAGACCAAAAGTGGGTATGTGTCACGTGCAACACGGACGCAGTAGTCTTGCTGAGTAACATCATTGTCCTACTGACAGGTCTTCGAAACAAGCTGTCAGTTAACTTGGAATACGACAGTAAAAAAACCGATATACAAACAAGAGCGCGCAACGGACTCAAAAATAGGGATGTCGATAGGTATGTCATCGATGGAGCATCCATCAACACTAACGACGACGTGTCGAGGCTCAGTACCATCATTACGTCGACGGTACTAGACTCCCTAGGCAAACTCGGGTCTCCCAGCTCAGGGTCGCTGAACACAACAGTGGTTCCCAAAAACCCTGCAGGCGATTCGACCCACGTTAAGAGAGCCCAAAAGAACCAGGCATCACCGCCTAAGCCGAGCAACCCAAGTGTTGCTGCACGGAAAATAACTGGTGATTTAGTCGCACAGTCTACCCCCAAGACTGTTCGTCCGGTCAATAAAGAGCCCAAGATTCATAAACGCACACTGACCTCCAAAAAACAAGTTATTAAACCTGAACCCATCGTGAAACCTGGTAAATTAACAACAGTTCGTGACGATTCTCTCATTATCATGAACCTCGTTGACAATCCTGACCTTCCTCTCAGTCTGCAGGATAAAAACGACAGGATGCTGTGGGGTGAATTGAACAAAAAGCTCGAACTTCCTAGAATAGAGCCTTTGACGGTCACCCGGCTCACTCGAGGAAAGGATTCTAAGCATCTAAATCACCCGAGGCTTCTCCGAGTAACACTTAAGAATGCTACCGACGTAGAGGACGTCTTGCTAGCAAGTCACTTACTGAAATCAGATGGTAACGTAAGAATATTGCCCGACATACCGTACTCTGAGCGCAATATCATACGAAACGTCCCTAAAGAATCTCGCGAGAAGTTCTTCCGCGGAAGAAACATAATTGTCCAAGGTATACCGGAAAATGCAGACCCTACTCAATCAAATTCTGACATCAGGGAATGGAAATTCATCAAACAGTCCTTGAGGCTCAAACACATACTGACTCAGCATGTGACGAGACTAGCCAAGAAGGACGGTGATCCTAGACCTCGTCTGATGAAGATAACCTTCCCATCTTCTCACATGGCGGCTGCAGTTCTGGAAGCATTTCGTGCCAACAGACGTCGATTGCCACCTGGAATCCACATGCACCCGGATAGGCCATACGAAGTCAGGACCAAGAACAAAGGCAAGCTGGAGCTGACCATTCCACTTGTGGACTGTCTAAACGATAAAAAAAACGTGTAAAGGACAGGGCCTACCACCTCGGCAAACCTCATATAGGTGGGCTACCTGTCCATTCACATAAGGTTCATACAGAAAAACAGGACGAAGCTCATGCGTTCCAAATTGAAAGCATAAACTGCTTATATACGAACGCCGCGAGTTTACCAAACAAACTGGATGAACTACGTGAACTTAGCGACGCTAACAAGGCCCATCTGATAGGAATATCTGAAACCTGGACATCTTCTCAGTTCTCGGATCAAGAGTTAGCATTGCCTGGGATGACTTTGTTCCGCAACGACAGAAAAATAGGAATTGGGGGCGGAGTAGCCATATACATAAGCTCTTGCTTGGAGGTGCACCAGGTTCACAACCTCGAGTTTAACAATCTTGAGGAATCCATATGGTGCTCTGTAAGGTTGTCTAGTACTTCCAGGTGTCTAGTCGGAGTCATTTACAGGAAGCCAACTGCCGACACCGAGTACGATAGTCGTATGCTGGAAGGACTATCCCGCTCTATCCGTCTCGGTTTCACACACATCCTGATTCTAGGGGACTTTAATCTCCCTAGAGTCAACTTCGCGGAACACACGTACACTGGAGGCGACAACTCAACTGAAGCTCGGTTCTTCAACCTCATCGATAACTTGGGCTTATATGAAAATGTGAGGTCGGCAACTCGTTGGAGAAACAGTCAGACACCATCGCGCTTAGACTGTGTATTCACTAACGAAGAATTCCTAGTCGACAACCTCTCAATCCTGGCTCCTCTGGGAAAAAGCGATCATGCCGTCATAGCCTTCAGTTTTGTCATCAAAACTAAGCTAAGGTATCCCAACAATAATTTGCGATGGAATTTTAAACGGCTGAATGTGCGAGCTCTACATGACCATCTACAACAGGTGGCTTGGGATGTTCACCCTCAAATCGATGTGGATGGTCATTGGGACTTCTTGCTGCACACGCTCTTACGTGCTACAAACCATTCAGTTCCTCAAACGGTTCCCAAAAGCTTCAAGCCACCTACAGTAATCAAGAACCGTACCCTTCGCCTCCTAAGCCGCAAACGGCACTGTTGGGCGGAATACAAACGAACTAATAACGATGGAGCGTATAGGCAATACAAACATATCAGGAACACATGCACGAAGGCTATAAGAGAAGACAGGCTTCAGTACCAAACAAAGCTTATGGACAAATTCGCCTCTAACCCTAGAAGCCTATTCCGTTATGCAGCCTCTCTTCGTCAAGCCAAAACAGGAGTTTCTCAACTGCTAGGTCCTAACGGCCCGACCAACAACGATGGCGACGCCGCTAACCTTCTGGCGGCCCATTACTCTCAAACATTTCAACCGGCTGATATCAACTTTATTGACGACAGTTTCATCTGCAATTCCACAGGACTTTCTGAAGTGGACCTAAGCGCTGACTTGGTGTTCCGGAAACTGCAGCACTTAAGACTTGACACTTCTCCTGGCCCGGATATGGTTCATCCTGCCATACTGAGGGAGGCAGCCTCAATCCTGGCAACGCCGCTTAGCGTGATGTTTTCACACTCGCTTAGCCGAGGCAAACTACCGGAAAATTGGAAGTTGGCTCACATCACACCAATTTTCAAAGGTGGTCGACGCAATGAACCTTCAAGTTACCGGCCGGTAGCTCTTCTGTCGTTACCTTCAAAACTCATGGAGTCCCTGATATGCGACGGTTTAAATGACTACCTACTGTCCTTAAATTTCTTCTCACCCCAACAGCATGGTTTCAGGAAGGGTTACTCTTGTATAACCAACCTGCTGACTGCGGTGGACAGATGGACAAGCATCCTCGATCGCAAGGGAAAGGTTGATGTCATTTACCTTGATTTCTCAAAAGCTTTTGATAAGGTTAACCACTTGTGTCTTATCAACAAGCTCAAACGACTAGGTATCAAACCACCTCTAATCGACTGGCTTACTTCATACCTAAAAAATCGACACTTTAAGGTTAGGGTTAATTTCACTTTATCTCAAGCTATGGAATGTCCTAGTGGGGTCCCCCAGGGCTCAGTACTAGGGCCTCTTCTCTTCTTGATTTACATAAATGATCTTCCTCAACAGGTAACGTCAGACTTATTACTTTTTGCCGACGACGTGAAACTTTGGAGAGAGATACGCAACCAAGACGATATACAGGCTCTTCAAGAGGATCTGACTCGACTTCATAGTTGGGCAGACGATAACGGACTTACCTTTAACACTTCTAAGTGTAAAGTAGTCCATCTGCGACATGTCGCAAACTACAGTTACAACTTAGGAAACTCCTCTCTAGTAGTATCCCAAGTCGAAAAAGATTTAGGAGTCCTGGTGCCCCATGACTTAAAGTCTTACGCTAACTGTGACAAAAATGCCTTCCGAGCAAACCTTGCACTGGTAACGTTGAGGCGCATTTTTGGTCAGTTTGACGGAAGAACTTTCCACACAATCTTCAATAGTTTCATCCGTCCCCATTTAGAGTACGGAAACATAGTACTCCCCCCTCACTCCAAAAGGACAAGGTCACTTTGGAGCGTATCCAACGGCGAGCCACGAAATCAGTTCGAGGACTCAAATCTAAGCCTTACGAAGAACGCCTCCGTTCACTAGACCTTTACCCACTAGAATATAGGCGTCTTAGAGGTGATTTATTAATGGCTTATAGTATTCTTAACACTTCTGGACATCCTCTTAAACACCTACTTAAGCTTAGTTCGAACAATAACCTAAGGGGTAACACCCAGAAACTGGAAACACAACATAGCAAGACGGAATGTAGACACAACTTCTACTCCTTAAGAGTTGTCAAAAGCTGGAATTCGCTGCCGGCCGAGCTAGTCCAAGCGACTTCTCAGGAGTCCTTCAAGAGGCAACTTGACCTATTCTTAAGGACCAAGGACAGCATCGCACTATGATTTACCAATTTCTTTTCCTCTTTTATTGTTAACATACCTAGGTTCCTGCCTGGAGGATTTGGTGATCCCCTGCTACTAGACACGGAAGCCTGTTAAGCGAAAGCTTCTTCTATTCCGTCCACAACCATTTGAACCATTTGAACCATTTGAACCGATGATGATAGGAGACGAGGAAGGTCATTTACATACAAGAGGAATATATATGATTGGCGTTAATTTTACTGCAAATAATTCAACCCAAAAGAAAATAGTAGTCTTAAGGAGTGATAGATAATCGGAACTATCGAATTACGTCTGAGGAAAAGAATACCGCTGATCTTTTAAACATCGCGCACTGTGTAATCTGACAAAACGCGTAGTATTATGACCATTTCTTGATACGTGCAAAAAGATACTATATCTTCTCATAAACAAAAATTACAAAATCTATGTAGATTACCTGATTTCATATCTTGATAAGTGAAGTGGTTTAGCGGTTTTTCGTAATACGCGTTGACTTGTTTACTTGATCTATAACGGATGAGCAGCTATGATACATTCCCATTTAAAAGCAATTATCAAGTATCAAATCTACTTGGATCCGGAGCATATGGACGCGTTTTTAAAGGGACATCTTTAAATGGAACGACGGTTGCATTAAAAGAAATACTGATACCTACTGATGATGAGGGCATTCCACTCAGCACTCTACGTGAACTTAGTGTTCTGAAGAAGGTGCAATCCTATAATTGCCCTTACCTCGTACAGTAGGTTCAAATTCTCAACACTACTTTTGCTTTAGAATGCTTGACATTTCATTAAAAAAGCAGGAGACTGGGATATCGATTTATATTGTTTTCGAGTTTGTTGATTGCGATTTAGCTCGTTTTCTTTCTCACCATGTACCTTCGACTGGCCTTCCATCTGAGACCATCAGGGTGAGTTCAATGTTTGATAGTTTAAACTCCATAAATACGCATGAGTTGTTACACAGTTTTGTGGTTAAATAGATAAATGTGTAGCCAATATACTGATCTCATTACTGTACTTACTGGCCCATACAATAATACATCAGTGTATCAGACTTTGACCGACAGTTTCAGCCTTGACAGAAGGTAAAACTTCGTTGTCAACTGAAATAAAATCATTACTTGGATGTATAATTATGGCAACCCCTCACAACTATTGGCTGGGTTATGGCTTTTGTCTGGCCAGCCGAATAGCAATGACTTTTGATTGCAGTATATTCATTTGAAAGGTACATATGACGTTTGCATTGTTTACTCAACTGCATGTTTATGTTAAGAGTGTATTCTGAAATTAATCCAGGTTTATGAGTGTAGAATCCTATCATTTTTATATTGCATTCATCGTCAGTCTTCAAATCAGAAAAATGGTGGAACCTAGGGTTTCCTAGATAGTTGATCTAGTGGTCCAATTTCGGTTTTACTTTCAAAGTAAAACACCCGTGTTATAACTATGAGGTTTCATAAAGAATAGGTGATATTATTAAATAAAAAACCAGATATGACTATTCGGGTCACGGAGCTATAAAATGCCGCTTTGAACCACAATCTTTCAATATTGCTTTGAATAGTTGTCTGAGTTTTGGTTGGCTACATTGAAAACAATTGTAAGAGCATTCCTGGTCATTTCTAAAAATCTCATTTGATGCTGCTCAAGTCTAAACCTTTTAGTTTTTCTGTCCTTTGATACTTGGTTTCAGTACTTAAGACAAACTAGGCACTTTGTGCAACTATAAGCGTGTTTTTTGCTCTCTATTTTAGAATTTATCTGAACAGTTGCTCCGTGGTACGGATTTCCTCCATTCACATAGAATAATTCATCGTGATCTTAAACCGGCTAATATTCTCATCAATAAGGAAACCTTGCGCTTGAAGATAACTGACTTTGGTTTATCTCGTGTACTTGGCTGGGAGTCTTCACTCACACCGATTGTTGTAACATTGTGGTATCGGTCTCCAGAGATTTTAATTCAATCTGAATACTTATCACCTTGTGATATATGGGCTGCTGGTTGTATCATAGCAGAATTATTCAACTTACAAGCAATTTTCCGTGCAGATACAGAACTAGAGATGTTAAAACTTATATTTCAGTAAGCTTTATAGTGTTCGAAATTCGATAATCATGTATGATTTTCTAGAGTTATTGGATTTCCTGCTCAAAATGAATGGCCTGCGTTGTCTTACTTGAAACGATCTAATTTTCATTTCAATTCTTCTGGTTCAAAATTACGTTCGTGTATCAAAACTAACGATAAATTTGCACTCGAATTACTTGAAGTGTGTGAAAAATGTGTTATTTTCATGCATATATTTCTTATTCATAATTTCATCTTGCTATCGTATACAATTATCTTTAAAGTAAACAGGTTTGTTTTTTCAGGTTAGCTGAGTAAGGTTTCATAATTTCAACTATACTACTGAAATACATAAGTATATAGATACGATGCATTACAATATCTACTTTTTATGAAGTAATTGTAAAAGGACACGAAATAATCAGTCTCGTTAATAGGGTATTTTGATGCTCACTCTAAAATCGAGTTGGCTGATTTAAACATGTACATCTAAACAACTTAGAAAATCATACAATAAGTCAGATGGATAGTACATAGCTCCTAGGTTTATTTCTTATTGTTCAAAGCTTAAAATTAGTGAAAGTTTAGTATTAAAAGTCGCATTGCATTAAAATAACATGGGATAAAGTGAGAATTTATGTAAGTAGTAAAAAAGACTAACTTGTGATGAGTTGGAAACCTCTTCTCATATATGATAATTTTATCTAAAGGGGATACAAAAACATTTAAAAATAATTATCATTACTCTCTGCTTAGAGTGGTAGCCTAGTTGTTAAAGAGTTTATCTTTCAGCCGCTAAAATAATTCCAAGGCTCGTTCTCCACTTTATTGTAGGGAGCTGAATAGTATCACTAGCGTTCACACAAAGTTCAGCTTAAAGTTAAGTAGATCAAGTTGTAATTGGCCTTGAGATAGTGAAGATCTACAGCCCAAGTGAATGACTAGTAAGTTCCATTCTATGATCTAAAAAGGTTTCAAGTTCAGCGATGACCAATCAAGATCAATGTAGTGATGGTGAATGGTTAGTCATGCATGGAAAAGTTCGAACGCCTCACTTTTACCTGGGGTTTGTGCTGGTGATTTTGTTCGGAAAAACAATGAAATCTCAACGATTATTGCTTACGTACATAATTATGCTAATAATTATATCGTACCAATTATCATTATTATTACTTCTGTTTCACTGCTTCAATAACCATGCCTTAAACCAACTGTTTGTGTTAGACAAAACTGAGATATAATGAGCTGTAGTTTGTTGTTTAAAGCATTCAGTTTTCAACCATTAAGCTTCAGTTTCACTATTCATTGTATCACCAATGTGGCTGACGACCAAGTGTATAATCTTCTATTCAGTCACTACCATTGGTCCACCAAACACTTTGTCATTGCTTCATCTTAATTTTATTTGCCACAACGTTAGGACCTGTATGTACCAGAAATTCAAATAACAAAGTTCAGACTTTTCACAGCAAGGATTAAATAAACACAAAGTACTTTTATCATATAAGAGATCTGGCGAACCATTTTATTTTTTGTATACATAATGGATCGTAACTGGTATCCTACTTTCCATATATTTACAGCTAATGATCCAGTTCAATCCAAAAAAGCGAATCACTGCCTTCGATGCACTTTCACTACCGTATTTTCATCCTACTGTCACTAGTAGTACTAATACAGGTGGATCCGTTCAAAACAATATTCAACACATTGAAACTACTCTGCATAAGCCATTATTAAGAAATGTAAACGCTTCTCGATCAAATGGACGGCAATCCCGCTACTCTGTAAATACCATTTATCCTACACAGTCATGTGCAGCTGCATTGTCATCTTATTTCCAGAATAATTTGCCTTCTGCAGTTAATTTTCGACCATGCCCTGTTGGTGGTGGTGGTATTGATGAAGTTGATGGTTGTGTTCCAGTAACAAATGCTCAACTTGTACCTCACACACTTCACTCAACATTTGATCATTTAGTTAATTCTGCACTTACAATTGACCAAATGGTTCCCACTTCACGTAGTTCTGATATTGATCAGCATCAGCGTAATTTGATTATATCAGTTGTGAATAATGCCATTAATGATAATTCATCATCTGTACCCTTAAATAACATTGACCATAATTCTGCCACACCACCTAGGAGACCGCTAACTAGACAACAAGCTAAATCTATCCGAAGGCATACACAACCAACTAGAACCTGTCTTATGGAAACCAATTACGAAGTGAATAATTCACAGAAAATTGGAACCCAGAAGACATGCAAAAACTCCATTGAAATCTTATCAGATAATACATCTGTGCAAAAACCAAATAATGCAGACCCTTTAAATGTAACAAGTCACATAGTTAGACAGAAAAAAACAGCTCGCCGTCGAACAGTCATGGGTGTTGTCGAGGTAATATTGTTCACTAATAATTTCCATACCTTTTGTAATACACTTCCAGATAAAGTTTGATTCTCAGAAGACCAATCTTAGAATCACTTCGAATTTCAAGACAATCAATCGATTTGTATTATTCTGTATTGTTTATTTGATGAGATGCACACTGGAAAAAGCATTCAGTTACTCATAAGCAACATAGAACCTGGGAAAAATATGCATCACCCTAAGTTGCCACATCACGTCGACACATTGAGATAAGATTATAAAGACGAATAACAAAGAAATAATACTAGTACCAGTGATCGTACGAAAGATTAGGCATAATCAACGTGGTTGGAGAGAAAAGAGTGAATTTATAAAGTTTAAAAAAAAAACAGGATCTAGGCGTAAACAAGAAATGAATACATTCGTATCGTTCCAACCCCATTCTTCAACCATGTCACCTGAAGTCTCTAACCTTTGGTTATAAAAATTGTGCTGATCCCAACCAAGTAGTCGATGTCCTACCTAAACACCGTAATTTAACCAATAACGTTATCATGAGGTGATGCTATGTTTTAGTTTGGCCTTCCTTACTTTTTTCCCAGTCTCTTTCTATACCAACCAATACCACATATCGAGATAGGTAATGGTTGGACTTACGTAACACATTTTATAGCACCCTCAGCAAATAGAAATTCACAGTCTCACCAACCAGTTTTCTGACTTTACTCAAAAGTCATTGACAGTTGGACTGAACCATGTTAACAGGTGTAGACTACGTGGATGGTTAGAGACTTTAAATGATCCGTTTGTTGCTACCTAAAAAACCCAACCGTTGTTGCTACCTTGAAGTGGTGGTCGGGCTTGCCTATCGTGATGAGGCAACCGAGCTATACTGGCTGGAACAACCGTTCCTCAAGGTCCTACCATGTCAGACAGGTCGGTTGAAGAGCGGTAAGACTAAAAGCAGCAAACCCAAGGTCCGAAGGCGAAGTCGTACTGCTGACTGTACAGAGGTGTGAGGGCAGTAAGGTGTTTCCTTCAGACAACCAGCATGACAACGATGCTGCCTTCCTACAAGGAGGGGTGGGGTTAGAAAAGGTTGACCCTAAAAATGCACACCTCGCCTTATCCCTTAGACGTTATTCCATCTGACTGGTCACAATCACTTATCGTCCCAATATATATGAGAGGGTTAAAATCATCCTGTAACAACCATAGAGGGATTAGTTTAACTAATATAGCGTCTAAAATACTAGCAACGATAATTATCAGATGCCTAACTAAGACTCGTGAACTGCAAACACGAGAGAACCAAGATGGCTTCAGACTTGGTCGTGGCTGCATCGACCATATATTCACCATTCGTCAGGTTCTAGAACACAGGCGTACTTATCGGCGTTCGACAATGGTGGTCTTTCTTGACTTAAAAGCAGTATTTGACTCCGTAGACCGTGAGATTCTGTGGCAGTGTCTGTCATTGAAAGGCGTACCTCAGAAGTACATAAACCTTGTGAAGGCTCTTTACTCGAACACTACTAGTCGAGTCAGAGCTTATGGCGAACTGTCATCTACTTTCGCAACCTCGAGTGGTGTCCGTCAAGACTGTCCACTTTCTCCATTTTTGTTCAACTTCATCATAGATCTACTGATGGAAATAACTTTCTCGTCGACTGAATTCTCGGGTATTGATCTCTTCCCAGGAGGTCCACTTATCGATGAGAATACGCAGATGATATAGTCATGTTTGGTGAAGACGCTGATAAAATGCAGAGTTTTTTGGTAGCACTAAGCAACAATACCAGAATGTTTGGAATGCGCTTCTCTCCCTCTAAATGCAAGTTGTTGCTTCAGGACTGCCTGCGTGAACACCTGAACTAAGTATAGGGTTTGAAGTAGTCGAACGCGTTGACAACTTCACTTATCTTGGAAGTCTGATCAGACCTAGTGGGTTAGTGTCTGACGAAATCTCTGTACGGATTCAAAAAGCTCGCTTGGCTTTTGCCAACTTACGTCACCTTTGGCGAAGGCGAGATATCTGTCCATCAATGAAAGGACGAGTATACTGCGCGGCAGTCCGTTCTGTTTTAATTTACGGCTGCGAAACATGGCCATTAAGAGTAGAAGACACTCGTAAGCTACTAGTATTTGACCATAGATGCCTCAGAAATATTGCTGGCGTCTGCTGAGATCACCGGGTAAGTAATAGTGAGGTTGGACACAGGGTGTTAGGGAATGATGGTAAACCAGTTGATGAGTTTGTTAATCTTCATCGACTGAGATGGTTGGGCCACGTGTTACGTATGCCTGAACACCGATTACCACGACACGCAATGCTAACCGGTGTTGGAGATGGTTGGAAGAAGGTTAGGGCAGCCAAACCAAAACGTGGCATCAGTGTTTGAAGTCACTAACTTGTAGTCTGAGCCATGTTGGTAGATGCAGACTACTTGGTTGGGGTCCACGTGACTATCGTAACCAATAGTTGGAGACTCTTGGTGACATGGCTCAGAATCGATCACAATGGCGTCGGTGTATACACTCTCTGTCTTCCCTTAAACTAAGAGTTTAAAATCGCTTCATATCTTTCTTTCTACAAACAAATTTTTTCTTCTTGTACTATATCTCTATATGCAATCTTTCTCTTATATATTACCACCTTTGACCTAACCACTGCTATGAATCCGGTGTTTATCTTGTTGTGCTGATGCGGTATGGCAACCTGGACCGATGCACATATGTGCCTGGTCCTACATTGTAGCTGACTGGCTGACTTAAATGATCCGACTCGAAACCTTTTATAGTGGCGCAGGTGCATCCATTCTCTGTCTTTATCCGGATTTCTCAATCTTCTTATTTCCTCCAGTCGTATCTTCGATGCCTGGTTTCTTCTATTACCAATAATACTGATTATCTCTACTACTCTGGGATTTACCCTAACAATTTCATCGATTTGTGGTAATAGGGTGTGGCAAATTGGTCACGTTTGCGTCGAACTTCACACTCTTGCATATTTCCTGTATGTGAACATCTTAATGGTTGTCCACTGTATCTATTTTTGTTTAATTTCATCATAGACCTACTACTGGTAATAACATTCACGCCGACTGGATTTTCGGGAATTGATCTCCTACCAGGAAGTCCATTTATTGGCTTAGAATACGCAGATGACAGTTCTGTTTGGTGAAGACACTGATAAAATGCAGTTTTTTGGTAGCATTGAGCAACAATACCAGGATGTTTGGGATGCTTCAGGACTGGCCTGCGTGAACACCTGAACTAAGATAGGAAGCGAAGTAGTTGAACGTATCGACAACTCCACTTATTTTGGAAGTCTGATCAGACCTAGTGGGTTAGTGTCTGACGAAATCTCTGTACGGATTCAAAAAGCTCGCTTGGCTTTTGCCAAATTACGTCACTTATGACGAAGGCGAGATATCCGTTCATCAATTAAGGGACGAGTATACTATGCATTAGTTCGTTCTGTTTTACTTTACGGCTGCGAAACGTGGTCATTAAGAGCAGAAAATACTCGTAAGTTACTAGTATTTGATGACTGGTGTCCTAGAAATATTGCCAACATCTGCTGGGACCACCGGGTAAGTAATGATGAGGTTGGACACAGGGTATTAGGGAATGATGGTAAGTCAGTTGGTGAGGCTGTGAATCTTCATCGACTAAGATGGTTGGGCCATGTGTTACGGATGCCCGAACACCGATTACCACGACGTTCAATGCTGACTAGTAAACAGTGGCTGGAGAATCTGGGTGACACGGCTTAAAGTCGATCAGTTATGGCATAGGTTTGTAAATATTTGATTATTGATCAACGTAATTTGATTGACAACTTTGTAATGGTAATAATAATAATATTTTATTCGTTTATTTCTGCAGACAGCGAATTCTTCAACTAAACAAACGAAGAAAATAGAAACAAATAACAGAAATACTAGAAAATCTAAAGAAGCCATACCTCTTACAAGGACATTGATGCCAAGTAAAGCAGAGAACTCTATTAGTTATATCGATGCTTCTTTACCTTATGTCTCACTTAATCGAGAAGAGATTTGCAATAAACCAATGCTCACCGTTACCACTACTTCTGGTATTGATGTTACTACTGAATCAAATGAAGCGAAAAGAAAAGATATTGATGTAAAAATTCTTCAACATAGTAGTGATGTTGGTCGAATTTCAGAAAGTTGTCAACAATTTTTATCACAACATACTACTGATCATCATCGTTATCAACATTATTCTCATCAAGTTCGACCAAGTTCACGATTTTCACTTGGGCCTGCTTCATCATTATCTTCCAACTCTACTTTGCATTCAATTCATGAGCATGAAAACCCTTCTAATGATAATAATCATAAGAAAAAGATGAAAGAAGCAAGATAGTAGGCAATCATCAACAAGTGTTAATTAAATCAACTAGTCATCCACCGTTAACTACTGAATTAGATGATAATAATGAGAACTATTGTTTATTAGGGAGTAGTAATTCGACTAAAAACACATCAACGACAACAACGGCATCAGAGACAGAAACAAAAACAACAATGACATTGTGTTCTCCATCAAAATTACCTCGTGTTATTGATCAGTTTTCTTCAAGTACTCTTGTTAACACTTCACTATTACAGTCAACAAATAATCCAAATTGTGTAAAAACACATCATTTTACTAAACAAGGAAATATTAACGTCGATGAAGACGATACAACTGATGATGAAATCGATTCAGATGATATTGATGAAAATCAACCAGCTAATACAAGTCTTGGCATTAATACAGCAATGACCGGTTTAGCTCTAGTCAATAGTCATAGTAATAGCAATAGTAATTCTAGTCAATATAAAAATACTACTACTACTGCTGCTACTACTACTACTACTACTAGTAATAATAATAGTAATAGTAACAGTACCGCTAATAGTTGTAATAATAGTACAAATAAAAAGGAAAATGACAATAATCATTCAATTTTAACATCTTCAACAATCGCTATTAGTAATAATATTGAGTCAAATAACAAGACAATCCCTGTCTCATTATCAAATAATGTTACAGTTCAATTGACCGCTTGCTCATTAGATAAGTTTTTATTTAAATAAGTAGAGACTATCAAATACTTTATTTATTTATTTTTTTTGTTTATTTTTACAATTATTATTGATAGTTTGTTTTACTTTCTACCTTTCATAAAATCATCGGTAGAGAGAGGGAAAAGGTTGGAGAATGCTTATCGGTAGCCTATGCTCCATTGGGAGTAACAGGCGTAAGAGAGAGGATGATGCATTGCATTTCATACTACTGAGTTCTTGTTTTATTTTTGGTTTTTTGTAATCTTTTTTGTAATTTCACTATTTGAATTCAATAGTGTCAAATCGTTTGGAATATTTTTCTAGTGCATTTATTTGTCCCTATAAACACTACTACTACTACTACTACCTATTCTTAGTAGTATTCATTATATTCGTTTTTATATACAGTATTTTGTTTTGTACGATTATTATTATTATGATTATTTTTCTTCAGTTATTCGTTAACTCTGTGCCTTCACTCATACGATTCCATGTATTTTGATACGATATGTTCATTCATTTATTGTGCCTTATCATTATTATTATTAGTTGTAAATGTCAGAAGCATTTTTTACAAAAAATATACTACAAAGATGTTTTTTCTTTCTTTTCCATGGATCTATTCAACGTTTATTATACTCGGTGTCACTCAGTGATCCAAGTCGAAGTTTTGAAGTCTTCTTTGTTCTTTCTTTTAAATCAACTAGAATGGCTACACAAAGATGTTTGTTCTTTTTTTTTTCTTTTCCATGAATCTCTTCAACGTTTATTATACTCGGTGTCACTTAGTGATCCAAGTCGAAGTTTTGAAGTCTTCTTTGTTCTTTCTTTTAAATCAGTTAGAATGACTACACTATTATCATTATTATTATTAGAACTGCTATTTTGTCTTACCATTATTGTATATAAGTATACATTCATTGTTATATCGTTTCCCCTCATTTTTTCTCGGTGAAAACAATAACAGAAAGAAAATTGAATTTTAAGAAATATCCCATTTATCCATTATGTGAGAATACTCAAATTTAACATTACTATTAGTACTGTAGTATTCTTTTTTGTATGTATTTAATGTACTTTATGAAAACTGCATATTATATTTATATGTGTATATAATGAAAAGAGTTAATATTTAATTAGAATGTGTTTATAATGACGATAATGATGATGATGACGATGATGGTGGTGTGTAATTCGAATGGATGAATGATGAGTAGTGACCAATTGTGAGAAAAAAGGTGAATAAATGTTATACGTATGTGTGTGTGTGATCTGTTTACCACAACGGATTTCTTGTTTCACTTTGTTGTTGTGTACGAATTGTTGATCTTACTGGTCGGTCATCATCAACTTGAGCTCCTTTGTTGTTGTTTTTAATAAAAAATTCAAATAAAAACAGAATATGTGTAAATAAAATGATAAATAAGTAGCGATTGATAGAAAACTGTTTGGTTTCTAGGTAGTTGAAAGTGGTCAACAGGAAATCCTGTCTGACCTAGGTTTCTTGGTAGTTGGCGCTTGTCAACAGTCTCGACTGAACTGAGATCTCCTGGAGGATTCGGACCCCAGTCATGATTGATCTTTAACTTCAATACAGGTTTGAATTCAACAAACAACTTATATTCCTAAAACTAGAATTAGCTCTAACCATTATCTAAAATCAGAACATAATCCATTGTGATTTCAAGTTGTTTAGACTATTTGTTACATTGCATGCTGAGTCGATAGGATTCTATCATCTGTAAGGATTAGGCATACATCACACTGGTTGCTACTCCATATCCAACCATTTAAAATGAGTAGATTTTGTAAGGATGTTTATTTAAAAGATCTTCGAATGCAACGATTTACACAGTTGGTAGAAAATCAAATTCGTGATATAAACATTTGACCCTAAGAAAATGAGTCACAAGTTTCAGAGCATTCTGAAAACAGCGGCAATATTTGAAGTCAAATTGTATGTTCACCTACACACGGTGGAGCTCGATCACATTTATAGGGACGTAAATACCAAAACAAGCTTACTGCATATTCCTGATCTGATAAAAATGAGTAGTCCTATTGTCCCACTATGATCATCGAAACATTACATCATGATTCATCCTATGTTTCTATCGTTATCACCACAAAATTCTCTTATTTGTGTGAGATTATTGCAAATATCTGAATACCTACTAAAAACCTAGTTTAATATGAAGGGCTTCGCTTACTTTCTATCAGTTTGTAGCTAGAATATCAGGAGATTGGTAAAATACCAAGTTTACATGTGTCTTACCATATATGAGGAGCAACAGGGTTTAGTGTGCAGTCCTCTGAAATGACAATGAACCTACAATGTAGAACCTGGCACACGTTTGGGGCGCTTCATGTTGCCACATCACTAGTACAGTGAGATGAAATGCAAATATCAGATTAGTAGAAGTAGTATAACAGTATCAGTAGTGGTAGTAGGGAAGATTGGTATTATTCTTTCAATCATTAACTCAGAGGTTCCAGCTCCTTAACAAGTACTTTGAGAACTACCAAACCCTGTTAGGTAGAAGAGTACATTAGAAAAATGCTTAAATTATCCGAAAAACGTATCCCTAACCAATAAATGACGGTTTCTTGCTGTTATGAAATTGTAAAAAAAGGTCATTCATTTCTTGAGAACGACTCTAAAGATAGGTAATAGTCAGTCACTCATCAACAACGTAAAACTTCGTACGTACATCAGTTCAAGTTGCCACACCACATTAGCACAGAGACACAATTTTCGATTCAAATCCCGTAGTGATAGAGGTAGTAAAAGTATCAGCACTAATCGGAAACACTAGGGTTTGAAGATGTTATTCAAGGAGTATAATACAGTGAAATAAATTTGGAAAGAGAAAAAGAAGAAACATGAAGAATTCAGAAGATTAGAATTTGGGAGAACACAACGAGTAGATGAACCTGCGCCATTGCAAACGATTTTGAGCCATGTCATTCAAAGTCTCTAACCATCGGTTGCTATCATCTCGCGGATCCTAACCCGGTAGTCTACACCTACCAACATGTCTCAGTCCACATGTCAGTGACTTCATGGATTTGTGCCATGTTTTGGTCTGGCCACCCCTAACGTATTTCCAACCTATTCCGGTCGGTGGTCGGGCATACGTAACACGTGTCCCAGCCATCTCAACTGGTGAAATTTCACTACTTCATCAATTGATTTGTCATCTTTACCTAGTTCCCGTTTCCTAACAACTGAGTTACTTACTCGGTAGTATAAGTTCCTGACACATTTCTGAGCTAAATATGATGACTTGCATAGTTTTACAAGCCTTACCATCAATAATCTTAACTTCAAATACAATTAAACATAAAACTGTTTCAAAATAATGAAAAAAAAATGTTTAACAACTAACCACTTAATGAAAATCCTGAAGCATGTAAATCTCGATTACCACGTATTGTACGTATGTTGATTGGCGTTGTCATTAAATTTTGAGGATTTCCATCTTTCGTTTGTTCACTATTATTATTATTATTATTATCATGATTGTTTGTCGTTTTGAAATTGTTGTTAATTCTCCACTTAAATTATTCATTGTCCATGGTTCACGAATAACAGGGATTTGATTTGTTTTACGTAACTAATTTGAGAAATAAAAAAAAGTAACATTTCTATAGTAATGAAAGGAAAACATCATTTAGATTATTCACTGCTAAAGAGTCTTAAACTAGATCGTTCTAGGTTGTTCTATACTTTGTAATATACACTAGTTGAAAACAGTACCTAACAAGCATCTAATATAAGTTAAAATAATCTTGCCATCTAAATTAATGTTTATGTTTGTTACTTTAGATTATCCAGTAATTTGACATTAATTCAATGAATATCTATATATGATGTGTATGTCATTTATGTATGCGTAAAATTGATAGATCCACAACTAAAACGCTTGATATTGACTTTGTAGCTGCTTCCTGAATCACCAGAACTCTTCCCCCACTTGAGAGCTGAACAATCGAGGAAAGGAGTAGTGTCTAGTATCATGTCAGTCCCATATTGGTCTATTCATTCGTGTTGTGTTAAATTTTGACTTTGTTAATTATTCGTTTATTAACTTTGACTGCTTTTATAAGGGTGTATTTGTGTACATTGCTTATTGTACTCATAACATGTCTATAGGTTATTTTTGTCTGACTATAAATATTCAGCCATACTTGCTCAAATCGAGTTGGCTCACTCGCCTCGCTTCGTTTTTTGTTCTTTCAACGATATTCTCCGCTTCGTTTTGCTTTCCAGATTTTCATTGTGAATGTTCTTTCAGATCAACCAGTGTAGGAAATATAAGTATTCAAAATTCATCTTCGTATTTGACTTATTCCGTTATTCATAACATGATTTAAGTCAATAATGATCTAATTAAAATCAGATTAAAAGGCCAACAATGGCACAAAATAGAAGAAGAAGCTTTATTTCAAAGTTTCTTAATCCACAGGAAATAAGAGTATTTACAAGCTTATATGAATTCTGGTTATCTCTGAGAGAATACTAAATTCAGTTACAGAGCAAACAGTTATCCACTCAAAGTATGACATAAAATCCATTAGGTTTCAAGGAATTTTTGTGTCATATAGGGATTGAACTAAATGTTCTCAACACTTTTCATGGTTTCTAAAGAACTTGTGGACGAACACAATTACATGAAAAGTTGAAGGATATTTAGTGATATAAACACTTATTTCACTGATAATCAACTGAGTGATATCTACATCTTAAGTCAGAGAATATCAGAATTGTTGGATGTTGATAAAGGCCAAGTGTTTTTTTAAAAAAAGGATTAGATCTGAGACAAGATTACTTTTTCTTTATGTGATTGAGAAGTTTATAGAAGTTGGTTTTCATCACTTCAGTCAAAGCGAATCTTTACAAACATTTCATGTAAACATTAATCATGTGCTGACTAATTGCTGGATGGAGAATGAATTCCTTGTGCTATAGTGAAAATTTATTATTTGATGAAATTCAACTATATTGAGAATAAGGGAATTACCTACCAACGGCGTTGGTTGGTGTCACGTTATGTACTACACCATCACTAATGACAGTATTCAAGAGATATTTTCTGGAGTTCTAATGAGAAGCCATGATCAGTGGAGTTCAGCCGAGTCTGTTGTGAGAAAGTAACTCATTGAAGACAATGGTGGACAATGGCACAACTTCGAGGATCGGTTGAAGTTAGACATTAGCACCATTGGATGCCGGCTCAGTGATCTAGAAGTTTGGTGTTTACGTACGAGACTGAAGGTCCTGGGTTCAAGCCTCGCGGGGCAGGATTGTGAGTGCTCATTGTTGAGGAGTCTCGCACTAGGGCGAAACGGCCTTCTAGTATTTCCAGATTTTCTATGGTGATCTAGTTTCAAATGACTCATGAATCCAACTATTAAATTACTATAATATCCACAAAACCACTCATCGATTATATCTTAAATATGTTACTCTTTATTTATCCTTACTCAAATCATCTTTTCTAAACACTTACTCTTTCAAATGCATTAACCAGATCATAAATAGTAGAGGGAAATAACTTCCCTGTTTGTAACATTCCAAGTGGTTGATTTGATTGAATTTCATTCAGATGATTACATGGTATAATCTTTAAATCATTACTATTATTACTTATATCTTCTATAAGATTACCATTGTATACTATTAATTTCCCATGATGAATAACTAAAGATGGATGTTGAATAGTACAATTAATTATATTATCATATGGCCAACAGATTAAATCAGCCTCTGATCCCGGATATAAACATCCTTTATTAGGATATAAACCTAAATAATGTGCAGCATTAGATGATGTAAGACTAACAAATGTAGAAGCATCTAACCATCCTGATGGCTAAAACAATAAAGAATAAAAAGAAAATAATGATAAATAAGAGTAGTATCGGTTAAAAGAAAGAAAGTAGTCATCTTATACAATTTATTCAGTCCATTTGAAGAGTTTTGATATGAAAATGAAAGAAGAGTTTATATTCTATAAAAATGACTAGTGGAGTTAACCGGGTCTGTTGTGAGATAGTAACTCACTGAAGACAATGGTGGATGTGTCTCTCAATTTCGTGGATTGGTTGGATTTAGACATTAACACCGTTGGACGCCGACCAGATCAGTGGCCTAGTGGTTAGGCATTCACACACGAGATCGACAAGTCCTGGGTTCAAATCTCGTGAGGCGGAATCGTAGATGCGCACTGCTGAGGAGTACCATACTGGGATGAAACGGCTGTTCAGTGCTTCAATTGACTCGCGAATTCAACTATAAAATTTATTTATTTAAACACATAAACATTGATACAAGGAGGCAACAAATAGATATATGCGCCACAAGTCATAGAC